GGATCGCGAGGCCCAGCCGAGCTTCGCCCGGTGCGGCCGCCCGGCCAGTGGCCGTGGCTCTGGGTGCGGGGCTCCGCGCAGTAGGGGCGGCAGCAGGTGTCCCCGGAGCGCCCGGCAGACGTGACGCATTTGGTGGCGGGAGGTCAGAGAGGAGGGGCGCCCGGGGGCGGTGCAGGGCCTAGAGCGCGGGGGAGGGGGCAGTACTGCCTGCGGGGGTCGTCCCCCGCGCGGGCCGAGCCACCCCCACCCCCACCCGGATGGCAGGGTGAGGGGGTTAGTGAAACCTGCTCTGTGCCTGTCTCCAAGAAGCTCAGCGCGGGGTGCCCTCTGCGCTCTGGACCGCGTGGGAACAGCCACTGATGTGGGTCCCCCTAGGAATCTGGGATCGGGAGGATTTCCCCCTAGATCCTTCTGGAAAGAAGAGTCAGAAGAGCTGAGGGCTCTTCAGAGTCCCTGATCAGGGAGCTTGGATCAGGTCTTTGGGCTGGAGATGAGGAGGTGATGGGGGGAGCCAGATGGGCGTCTGATTTCAGGGTCTTTGAGTTTGAGTTGTATTTGCCAGAATAATTGAGGAGAGGGTAGTGGGGAGGGGCTTTGGGAGGCGCTTTCAGGTATGTCCTCAGGAGGGAACAGGTGGTTCCTGGACTCTGCTCACCGACATGAGTGGTGTGGTCTGGCTTTGCCCCTGGTGTCAGAGACCACCGAGACTGCCTGGGGTAGGGTGGGGGTGGGGAGTGAGGACTTCTCTCTGACCTGGGGTCTCTGCGAGTCAAGGTTTCACCTGGCACCTCTGGGGTCAGACTTCAGAACTCCTGAATACCAGGGCCAGCCTGGCCAGAGCCCCATCCTCTTTCACCCTCCTCCAGCCATCCCTGTCTTCCCCCACACCTCTCCATCCCCCTCCATCCCCTGCCATCCCTCAGAGTGGTGGGGGTGCTGGCGAGGTTTCCTCTTACACATTCAGCAGCAGAGTCTTTTTTTCCCTTTCTAAAAAAAATGTATGTGGTGATATCTTGTGTTGGCGAGGGATGCTGATCATTGATAATTGTGGGTGCCGAGCTGGGAGGAGTGTGGGGGTGTGCTGATTTCCCAATTCTCCCTGCAGGTGCAGGAGGATTTGGGTCAGGCCTGGGGAGTGAGACGCCAGGTGGAATGGAGGAGATCCATGGCTCAGTGAGGGCAAAGGCCAGGCCCTGGGGACCCAGAAACACCTTTCCCTCTGGTGGGGATTCGTGGGTGCCTGGCCCCACGACTGGGTGGACTCAGAAAGCATAGTAGTGTGATGAGTCTCACTTGCACACTGTGTGTCCCTGAGACCCCCAAGACACGGGCCTTAAAGCAGCTTTCAGGGACTGGCTGGGACTTTCCTGTGAGGAAGGGAAGAGAGATATAGCTTGGGGGTCCTGAGGCAGGGGCAGGTGGTTCTTCAAGACAGAGGGCAGCAGAGAAGGAAGGTCATTCATTTCCAGGGGAACTTCTGTGTTCTTTCTGCTTGTGCTCCAGAGCACACGGACCCTCACAGCAGTCTCCTCCTCTCCCTCCCCCCATTTTTTCACCTGAAGTTCACCCTGATGCCCTCGCCTTCACTTTTGTGTGAATTCCCCTGAGTCCAGCAGCAGTGGCAGGTTGACCTGCCCTCCCCCGAGTCTTGGGTTTCAGCAGTGACTAGTTACCCCAGCGCTGCTACCACACTGGAGATGGGAGGTCTTTGGGGTTGCCCTCCATGAGGCTGAGAGGGGGTGGCAGACCCTAGTGGAGACCGGGCTCCTCCTTTGGTCTTTCAGGACCTGAGCCACAAGGCTGTGCCAGGGCATCTTGCCTGGGGCCTCCGTGTGAGTGGGTGAGGAATGGAGCCTGGACGTGGAGGGGCGAACTCAGGCCTGAGGGAGGAGGGGAACACAGCCCAGGGGGTTGAACTGACTTTGGCGGACCAGGAAAGCTTTTGCTCAGCCCAGCCCAAGGCACCGGGCTCATGAGTGAGGCTTAGGGGCCTGTCACAGTTCCGTTGGGGTGCCCTGTGTAGGGAGCAGCTGAGCAGGTGCAGGACTGAGCATGGCAGGGAGTGCGAGAGAGGGCTGGGCACCCAGGTGGCCATGTTGCCAGTTGTTGACTGTTCGGGGCACAGTTGGTGTTGCTTCCTAGGTCTAGGCGCACACATCCAAGTTTATTTAAAGCTGTAACCCCTGGCACCAGTCAGGAGACACTGAGCTCCCTGCCCAGGCAAGGACTGGGCCGCAGGCCCAAGTCTGCCCAAGTGACGTGGTTGCAGGCGTTTCCCCCTGACCTGCCCCCTTCTCTGTCTTGCCCCCCACCCCACCTGTACTCTGCCCCGGAGGCCTGGGTATTAGGGTCCAAGGATCTGGAGGAGCTGTTTTCTGGGGCACTGCTCTTCTTGCCTGGCTGGGCAGGACTGCCAGGGCAGTGCTCAGGGCTCCGGGCCACCATCTTGGTGAACCAAGTCCTGAGTGGAGAGCTAGTTTGAGCTCAGAGGCTCAAGGCAGACACAGCAGGCCAAGCAGACCCTGGCCCGACGCAAACGGGCAGCAATGCAGTTCAATATTTTCATGTTGGATAGCTTTTTAAAATGGTGATAAACTTCAGGGGCAATAACATGAAAAGTTGTGTATCTTTTTTTAAAGATTTATTTATTTATGCATACAGATCTGGGGTACAGGCCAGAGGTGCAGGGGTACTGAGAGTGTTCACCAGAGGCAGAGTGGGGAGCAGAACAGGCAGATCGTCGAGATACACTGCTGAGGGGAGCAGCAGGCAAGTCAGGAGAGGTCTGCTGCACTGTGTGGGTCACCTCCAGGGTGGGGATCGAACTCATGCTGAAGTAGCTTTAGCTTCCTAGTGCTGTGCTTTAACCCACTGCACCACCAGGGAGGACCCAAGTTGTGTATCTTTTACCCAGAATTGAAAGCTGTTACTCTTTGTCATTTTGTCTTTAAGTTCTTTTTTTTTTTAATAGAAGAAATAAAACATTACAAATAAAATAACCATTTTCCTCCTATTGCCATCCTGCTCTTGGAAGTTATCCTTCCCACCTCTGTCCTTTCACACACAGATGTAAGTACCCACCACTAATATATAGTGTTCTTTGGTGTGTTTTCTTTTAACTTTCCATACACATTCTGAACATTATCTTTTCTCTCCATGTACTCTTCCTGACATCCATGTGTATTTGACCTTTAATTGCTGTGTGGTGTGTGGTGCTTATAGTGGGAACACATCCTCTTTGGGCAGGGCTCCTCTTGATGACATCTGGGTGGCTCTCAGATTTTGCTCTCCAGATCCTGCCATGTGTCTGCTGGTGCACAGTAGTGAGGGTCTCTTTAGACTTGTCCCTATAGCCCCCGGTCTCCCACCAGCCCCTCCCCTGTGCTTGGCCTGCTTAGCTGGCAGGTTGTAATGTTTGTTGGGTAGGAAGAAGTCTTGGATTTTGTTGTTCAGGTGCAAGAGTTTTCCACAATGGGAAAGCGTTTCCTTTAGATGTTCTTCCTAAAAGAAATCCATGTCCTAGAAATATTAGACTTTGGGGTTCATGGAATCTTCCCCGTGTATGAAGCACGTTGGGGTTCATGGAACCCTCCCCATGCATGGCACTGGGGCTCACGGCTCCTGTTGTGATGTCTAAAGCACATCATTGAACTTTGGGTTTTATTTCACTTGAATTGTCAAAGAGAGCCTCTGCCCCCGCTTGATAGACAGAACCATGGCTCATGGGGTGTCGGCTACTTGCCTGTGCCCAGGCAACAAGGAGGGCCCTGATCTCCACTCCAGGCACCCCTACCTTCTGGCTCCCCCTAAATGTTGGCTAGGCCCAGGACTGACCTTGGTGTGTCCTTGACTCCATCCAATGTACCCCAGTTTGTGGAGGGTGGCCCCCATTCTAGAGTGTATTTTCTTGCTGGAGATTTGCTGTCAACCTCTTGATGCTTTCTCAGCATGCTCTCAACTAGCAAATGGTCTGCTAGGTAGTTAATAGATAAACCCAGGAAATTCAAAGCAAATCGATTTTTGAGTCTCCTGGGTGCTGAGGCCAGGTTGCCAGGGAGGAGAGGACTCAGTGGAGGAGAAATCACCCCACTTGCTGTCTCCCACCCTCAGTCACTCTAGTCACTTCCTGCCTTAGGCCTTTGCCAGTAGTACTCTTCTCTCCCCTCATGAACACTCAGTTCATCTCCCCCCTGTCCCTCGTTTGTCCCCCATTCCTTATTTCTGTCCCCCTCCCTATCCCACTTCCTGGCTTTTGGCTCTCCCCAGCACTTGACGCACTGGGTAGCCCCTACTCCCCCACACAAATAAGGTCTGGGGGCTGTCTCGCCGCCAGGGCCTAGCTGAGGTGTGCACTCCTGCACATTGGGGGAAAAGTGAGTGAACTAGTGGGTCCCTATGTGTCCCCCGAGCCAGAGCCTCGATTCCTTAATGTAGGGTATTTAGAGAAGAAGTTGCACATGTTGAGGTTGCTGCAGGATGCACATGAAGGTGATGCTGGTTTAGTTACTATTGAATGGTATTTTTATACCATAACCTACTTTGCTGAGAGCTAAGAATATATCTCGCGCTTGCTACCTGCACTCTTTCTCTTCTGGTAACAGTCGCTAGCAGTTAAATGGTGCTTATTCCATTAACGTGTAAACGCTATTGTGATCATTCCCAGTTTATAGAAGAGGTGACTGAGGCTTGGAGAAGCGCCATCCCTTGGCCAAGGCCACCTGTGATCAGGATTGAGGCCAAGCG